GATCGTACTTAAACGAGCCACATGCTACTTACTTGTATGGGCCTCTATTAGAGGGTGTAACCACTTTGTAATTTCAATAAGCAAAATCTTAGATTTAGCAAACAAAATAAAATAATACAAGCTAATTCACATAAACATCTAAATGGTTTGCTATGATTAACCTTAAAACCCACCTTGTAGTATTTATTCCGCAGACTATCCAAGGTTTCCGGATGGCTCTGTTTCCCTATGTTTGGTTTATACAAGTTATATGACTTCCCGTGTCTATGCTCAGCCAGAACTGCTGAGTACATTTCACCACGAACCTGGATAGAAAAATAATATGTGAAAACAAATATAAAGCAAGACACAAAAACAAACCAGCACAGCTATATTGCATACCTTGAAGGACAAGTAAAAGCCTTCCTCTGGTTCTTGCAGCTGCAAAGATTTTTCCTGTGCCTTTTCCCAACTCAAACCTCTGTCCACGCTGATCTGCAATGTAATGAGTAAGGTTCTTAGGGATTTCCTAATGTCTAGAAAGATAGATTTACTATACAGTGCACGATAAATAAGTTGGAGCAAGGCTAATAAAAGTGATGGAAGACCAGATGTCAATGATTTATGTAAGAAACGTACTTTGTAAAACACAACTTGTCCATCCTGTGGATGCCCAGGGGTCAGGAAAATTTCTTTACTCTCTTGATATATTTCATCAACTCCAGGTGCCAAATCTGGGAAATTGGAAAATACAACTCATTCTTCAAACAAATCAACAACTCTGCTGCACAGAAGGCTCATGGATAAGCACACCAAAGGTGACTAGGAATCTCTGACAAAATGCAGCTTTCATAGAAATTAGTCATAGCTTGCCCTGACCACATACATGAGGGCATTAGTCTTACCTAGGATACCCATGTCATATTTGCCATCCTTCTTGTCCTTTTCAATTATATAGTCAAATGTGTCAGTGAAAAACTGAAAAAGGCTGTTTTGTTTGTGAACTTCTAGGCCCAGCATCCGATTCAGAAACTTTGTTACTGAACACTCTGCAAGAAACAGGTACAGAAACAGATAAAAGGGAGGGTCAAGACAGGCTTGGACACAATACAAAGAAATCTTCATGGCCTACATATGGAGAATTAAAGTAGAACTATAGACAAAACTTTACTGTCTTTTTCTTAGATTTGGATAGAGTTATGGGATTAAACCCCGAGAGCTTTTTTGTTGTCTCCGTCCCCTTTAGGGAGATTTACTTGCTCTAATTGTCCTGATTACTAATTTCATCCGGAATAAAAATATGAGAATGAATTTCAAAATTTGGAGTTGCCACCTGAAGATGAATAGGAGAATTTTGACAATGGGTACACGTGTTCCCATGACAACTAAGTGGGATTTCTCCGATATAAGAGAGATATTCTCTCACTTTTTGTAGAGTCTACAGGACATAAAGGAAAATCTCTATAATAAAGACACAAATGGGAAAAAAATATTACAGTACAAATTTGCATCAGATATCACTCATCTGGTCAGAAGTAGTTTAAATTCGTGCAGCACCATTTAGTTACTGTAAGGGGGAGTCATTACAGTAAATCCAAACCTACAGCAAGTTCTCCTCAGCTTTTGAAATAAAATTACGCACTGCACCTATTCCCTCTGGCTGCTCTTAATGACTTCTTTGTTAACTCCACTTAGCCATTTTTCTTGAGAAATTGTATCTTTACTGTAAGCACTGTTACATTGTAATATCACTCGCATCTATGTATTAATTAAAAAAAAGCCTAATGTTTAACAACATTAGATATTGATGTCATACCTTTATCAACAACGACGTTGTACTTTGTCTCTTTACAGCAAATTCCAACAGAAAGCAGACCCTGCTTCATATCTAAAGGGTAAAAAAATTAGATAAATGACACACACTGCTGTTATATAAATCAAATTGTATTCACACTCTACTCTTGACATATTTACAACTGCCGGCAAATAACATTGTTCATATACACTGAGTGGCCAGATTATTATGACCACCCCATCAGTACTTCGTTGGGCCACGAGATGACTCCACGTGATGACTTCATTGGGCCGCCTCGTGACTCCACGAGATGTTGAAAGGTGATGCGAGGAATCTGACACTGCACTGTTGCCCTTCTGTTGTCTTGTACCAGTCTTGCTACTCTCTGCTCTAGCATTGACTAGTCGCTTGAGTCGGGGGAGGAAGGAAGGGCTTCCCCGACTCAAGAGCCGGATTTTTGAGTCACCAGGCCACTGGGCCTGCCATCTAGGGCTGCAACAACTAATCGACATAATCGATTATAATCGATTATTGAAAAAGTTGTCAACTTTTTCAATAATCGATTAATCGGCTTCCGATCAGTTGGCCCTGTTCACAGCTCCACACGCTGTGCGCCGCACCTCCTCCCCACCTCACGCTCGCCGCTGCCAGACTCGCCTGCCCGCATCCACACGCCGCACCTCCTCCCCGCCTCACACTCCCCACCCACCCACATCCACGATCGGCACAGGGACGCACAGGGAGATGTAGTAAGGAGGAGCAGGTGTGGGGTGATGACAGCCGCCGATAGACAGGTCCGATCTCAGAAGCAAGTTGCTGGAAGACTGCTCAGGTAAGCTTTTCCACACGTGGTGCTCTATAATGTATTGCTGGGATTTGTATTCCTCTATAGCTGATGGTACATTGTGCTGTATATTATACATATGAATACAAATCCCAGCAATACATTATACACTGTATGTATAATGTATTGCTGGGATTTGTTGTACTCCTATATAGCTGGTGGTATTCTGCATTGCGTTGTATAGGGGAATACAAATCCCAGCAATAATACATTATACAGCGCAATGCGGAATACCACCAGCTATAGAAGAGTACAAAAAATCCCAGCAATAGTACATTATACAGTGGTGCAATGCTGAATACCACCAGCGCTATAGAGGACTACAAAACCCAGCAATAGTACATTATACAGCGCAATGCAGAATGCCGCCAGCTATTATGTACTATTGCTTGGATTTGTTGTATTCCTCTATAGCTGGTGGTATTCTGCATTCATTGCTGTATAATTTAACACTTTCCATTTCACTATATTGCACACCACACTTTTTTTTTTCTTTTTTACTTCCACCGCTCCAAGCTTGCTCCTGTGATGGACTACAACCTCAATACAAACTAGAAGTCCCATCACTGGAGCCTTTTTTTGAACTCTATTTTATGGTTTATCCGATTAACCGATTAATCGAACCTAATAATCGACTAACTAATCGATTTTGGAAATAATCGTTAGCTGCAGCTCTACTGCCATCAGACCTAGAACTCTCATGCAGAAGTATAGAGACAGATGGCTCCTAGACAGGAGATTTGGAAAACGAGATCTGCTAATTTGTGCAATGACAGAGGAAGGCTGGAGGTGAGAAACTAAGGAAGGGGAAGGGAGTGAAACTCTTTTTTTTTGTAGCCCTAGTCTGAGAGGCAAGATGCACCATCCTCAAGAAAGGTTAACAAACATCTCCTCCACTCTGGATAATGGAGCAACACCTTCATTCATACAGAGGAAGCTTTACTGCAGGATTTGCCAGACTTTGAGTGCCAAGATTTGTGGGTGGACGTGTAAATTGGAGTAGTGTAATGAAAGGGACATTTCATAACAGAAAGAGGGACAGGGAGGAAGAAGACTTTGCAGTCTGTTTCTTAGGCTTCTTATGCAGAGTATGATAGGTGCTCTTGCCACCAGTAGCATCCTTGATGATGTTGTCAAGAGCCTGTCCAAAGAGACGCTGTCCCTTGAAGGCCATGCAGGTTAAGTCCAGCACTTTAGCCAAACTGCCCTACACATATGAATGGACAAGAGACACATGTGAGAAATGAGATGAGAAGCTTCCATTAAACCATAACAGCTAATAATTTAACACTAGAGCCATCTGCTTTATGCATTATATAAGCAAGGGATCAACCTCGGCAGCGGTTAGATCAATTTGAAGGGACTTTGACCAGTCAGACATGGTCTGGCGATGTAGGGTCATAGCTAGGATCAGAAAAAGGGCAGGGCCCGACAGCGAAATGAGAGCTCTAAAAAGGGCTTTCAACCGGTTGGGTTCTTAAAGACAGGTGAGTCCTCTACCAGAGTAGAATACATCATATTAAGGGAGGACAATGCTGCATCCACAGTGTGAATAGATCACTTCTGCATAAAATCCTCAGCAAATGGATATAAAGGCTAATAAGCATTTGGGAGGAGCAAACAGCTTAATGTGAGGTTACCAATCTCCATGAAGAAATAGCTGGAAAACCAGCTGCAAAGGGGGAGTCTTTGCGGCCTTGGGAGTTTTAAAGGACCCAAGACTGGAAACAGCACAGGTAGACCAACAGGCTGATCTTCTAATTTTAGAGTGGTGTGCACTGCATCAATAAGAACCAAAATGGTCTCCTATAATTTGGGACTAATAGTACTATATTGCAATTCGTCAGGGGCAAGCTTATGAGTCAATGACCGGAGCAACTCCAATTTAGGCAGAGTCTTTGCAGCTGATGTTTTGGAAGCCACAGGCAAATCAGACATAGTACAGCAAGACTGAACAACCTTTCTGGTGTCTAGAATAAGGCATGCTGTAATAACGTGCCTCTAAGACAATGTATAGGCTTAGGGTAAGAAGCAAGACCTTGGGAAATCAGAAAATCAAAACAGCTAGGTCAGATGCCTGGATGTGACCAAAGCCACTCTAGGTGGGCAGAAAAAACATAGCAGAAGAGCAGAAGTGGGAAGATGTTTTCTCAACACTGTATTTCAGGAAAGAGAACAAAGTGTGTCATTCAATGACATCAGTCCCTCAGCATTAACCCTTGCCTCTGCTCAACTGGTGGGAGTGGAGAATAAAACGTACCTAGCAACCCATATGATTGAAGTTGCTCCCAGTGCTTGGCTCAAGTGGCCTACTCACCAAGTGAGTCTTCAAAAACAGGGCAAGCATTAAAGAAATGCTAAAGGCTCTGGACCTGGAAAATGCTCTATGTGGAACTTCATGCTCATAGATGACTTCCAGCCTATTCCCACATATCCAGTGGGGTTAGGCTGGGGTTTGGATGCAAAGCCAAGATGAGGACTCCAAAAACCAGGATGAGAATGACTGCATCGGGAAGCTGCAGTCCAAGAGACAAAACTCCGGCAGTGATGTAGAGAAGTGTTTTGGTTTCAGAAAAAAAAGTAGAAAAAATAGTCTTAACACAGCAGAACTGTAGAAAACAAGTCCACCCTTCTAGGACACTAGCATGGTAGTAAGATGTGTGGGGGTTAACCTGGGTTGGCCTGCAATTTTTCTGTTTGCCAGTGTACAAACCCCCTGTAGTCAGCAGTATAACCTGAAGAAAGGTTAAAAACTTCCTGGGTCCTCAATAGAGAAGAAAGAAATATGCATTCCCAAGCATATGCTCTTACTGCATAGAGATACATGTGTCTAAAATGCAAGGCACAGCATTAAAAAAGCAATGGCTTTTCTTTTTTTTAATAAAAGGTACAGGGTCTCCTATTGACTGAAAAACTGCAGATAATGCGTGTGTACATATACATACTAAGGACTATAATTTTCCTACCTTCGAATAGCTAGTTACTGTGTGATACGCACAAATGCTGTTAACGGTGGATTAAAATAATATTATGGAAAGGGACGCCAATGAATGAATTCGCAAGTAAATTAGGTTTCATTGCAACTTACCCTGGAAGAATGCAGCAGGGCCTCCTGGGTACCCCTGTGGAGGAGGCACATCCCTTTGTGTCTGGTTTAGGATAGCTGATAATATCTGTTCCAGTGATCTTGACCCATACTACACAGATAGGAAATGAACAATACAAATTTACAAACAACTGCATATACATACACTTTACACATAGCATGATGTTTGCAAGAGCTGAAATACAAGTAATAAGAGTTTAAATCACTGGCTATAGCACAAAGTTCTTAGCAGCTCCATGTGCTCTGTTTGCGTCACAGTTCTGCTCATGACCCTAAGAAAGTCAACTCTTCAATTTAATCAAACAATCCATTCAGAAGAGAAGTCCCACTAACCTTATTCTCAAAGTTGTACTTGCTAAGATCTCTAGACTCTGTGGCTCTCCGGTCCCCATGAGTCAGGGCACCCTATTTAAATAAACAGATCACATCAGGTGATGTAATGGGAAAGAGATCACAATAGTTTATTGACTTATTTTAAATCACAAGATATATACTGTACTTACCAAGCTTTCCAGTCTCTTAGCCACAATAGAAGCAAACCGCCTCTCTCCAGCAAGTTCTGATATGAGGAAAACGTACTCAGGAGCAGACACCTGGTTAGAGCGGTGAGTACGACCTAGAAATTGTGGGAAAGTTGATTTATTTTGGCAAGAGAGACTTTTAACATTGAAACAGACTGAAAGTAAAAATAAAGATAATAAAGATATTAACCCCTTTATGACTGAGCTAGTTTTCAGTTTCTGTTCAACACGTACACTGTATGTCTCCCGTCACGAAGGGGTTAAACAATAAAACTATATATATATTTTTTTTAAAAGCATTACAGAACTCACCAAATTGTTGTATGGCTCTATCTGCACTCCATGGCAGTTCCAGTGTCATGTGTACCCGTCGACGTTGATTTGGTACCCGCCGGTCGGCCTGTAGTGAAATACCTGAACTCGAAGCTTCAGAAATAATTGCCACCAGCTTCATGTGTAACCATTAGATTGAAAACAAAAAAATGTTTTATTAAAGTAGAGATTAAACTTTAGATAGAGAAAGAGCAGAATAATAAACATGTGTTTACCTTACTCCCATTCATAAAACGTTCCTTTTCCCTTAAATTGATATTATCTATGGATAAATTCTGCTCGGCTCGAGATTCATATCCGAGAGATCCATCACTGTGGCGAACCACACGACCCTTCCTGCCAGTCATCTAAGAAAGAGATACTACCATGATGCTTTTTTTTTTTTTAAATGGGAGGTTAGAGAATATTTTGAGAAGATATAATCAACATACCTCAGCCACCTTGTCTGGACCTCCAAGCTGGTCTATAAGCATGTCTAAAGTGTTGAGAGGTAGCTCCTTGCCCAATTCCTCCACCTTGGCCAAAAGATCCATCTTCATTTGCTCAACCTGTTCCGGGCCTATGAAAAGATTAAAAAAAAAGTACAGAATATCACTACCTTATTGATATATTTCTAAACCTCATTTACCAAGACATTTTGAGTATGATCTTGAAGTTGGACACCACTATCTTAATCAGTCAATTTAATTTGTGAAACATGAACAACTAGTCTTGCAGTGGGTGTAGATCCTCAACGGCTGATCAGACTGACTATTATTCACTATTATCCTCCACAGCAAACCAATTTCAGGAGGTGAATTAGAAGCTCCTTTCTAGATCATACCTCGTCCGTTCAGAGGCTACATGAATTATATTGCAACGGCGTTCCCTGTGCTGGAGATGAGAGAAGGCAGAAGGAACATTCTTACGTATTTTGGGCGTCTGTACGCAACCTAATATAGAAACTCACACATAGTGACATGGGTCTTGACCATGTCAATTATTTGCTTCCCTCTAGGACAGGGGTAGCAAACCTCCGGCCCTCCAGCTGTGGTGGAACTACAAATCCCATGAGGCATTGCAGGATTCTCACAGCCAGACATGACGCCCGAAGAGAGATGCATCATGGGATTTGTAGTTTCACCACAGTTGGAGGGCCGGAGATTTGCTACCCCTGCTCTAGGACATCTCTAAACATTGGGATAGGAAGACCTTACTTATTCACCTTCTCAATTCAGCTAAAATGTGCATCCTGCTCCTGTGGAAACGGATCCAACCTCCTACCATTTCCATATGGCTCCATAAAATCAATGAGATTAGAGATATGGAGGATCTTTCCCTTGCACTTCACAATAACAAGGAGCAATTTAAGAAAACTTGGTTCTATTGGTATTAATTCACCTTCACCTCCGAGCACCTCTCCCTCCCTGGCCCACCGTTAGGCCCCATTGACACCTAGGCGTATTGTAATATGCGCGTCTGTCACGCGTTTTTTTTACCGCGATTCGCGGTAAAAAAGTCGCGCGACCGTCGCGCGATTCCAAAGGCTACTTGGCTGTATCCCAATGGAAAACGCCCTACAAAACGGCCCAAAGTAGTCCCGGGACCTTTTCAGGTGTGGACCGTTTTGTAGGGCGTTAGGGACGGGCGGAAATATGCCTAGGTGGGAACGAGGGCATTGACTACAATGCTATTTATTTTTTTGACCGTTTTGTAGCGCGTTCGTCGAGCGTAGGACGCGCTACAAAACGGTCAGGTGTGAACGCAGCCTTAGTCTATATATTGTCTTCACTCACACTGCCGCTTGACCTCTCTAGCAATCCCTCTTTCTATTCCTACTAGTCCTGCTCCTAGGGCAGGGCTCAAAATTTCCACTCGCCCCCTCGCAATTGGCGAGTGAAAATTGCGTGGGGGCGAGTGGAAATCCAGGGGGGGGACTTCCGCCGCTTCGGCAGCGCCGATCGCTGTCTGTTTCCTCCACCCGCTTCTTGGAGCGGCACCGCAGCCTCCGACGGCCGGGC